ACTGTTATGAACTTGATGTCATAATCATTGCTAAAAAGGATTGGTAAGCTCGACACTAACCTTAAACTACATAAAATGGTTTTGCCAAACTATGAAGGAAAAATAAGTCACATACTAGGTGTGATTCAAGTAAATTTATCAGTTGGCTCGACTTCGAGGCCAACATTGTTTATGGTGATTGTGTCCAAAGAAAACTATAATTTATTGCTAGGACGTGAGTGGATACATGGCCTTGGGGCAGTACCATTGACTCTGCATCAACGCTTATCCATATGGCGCCAAGATGGGATTATGGAGAACATCGAGGCAGATCACAATTACTTCACTGCTGGTGTGGGTATGGTCAACAGGGAGAATTTTGACAAATCCTCAGCTACTATACCTCTGTGTGATCCTGAAGATGCAATGTTCAAGTCACATCCTGATGCGATCAAGTTTCTAACTCTACACCCTACTCATGGTTTCATTTGGGACTAAGAAAAGCTGGATACATATCCAACTACAAAAGGAGAGTTCGAACCCATAGGGTGGGCACAGGGTGGGAAGAAAAAACTCATAATGATGCCCGAGTCAAATTCTTTGGAAAGGATTTTGGCCTATATGGCCGAAAGTAGGATAAATTATGCCTTAGAGGCTGGAAATATTTCAAAAATGGCGCCTAAAGCCATTATGGTGGAAAAGCTTGGAGAACCAAGCCAAACAACAGCTTCAGAAAGCCAGAGGCTTGACTGCATATATGAAGAAGAGCCTTTGGGGTTTGAAAAAGACCCAAGAGATCATATTTTGAAGATGCAAGCATGAGATCCATTGGAAGAAGTCAACCTGGGTGATGGTGCGATTAGGTAAATTACATACATCAGCACTAAGACCGACAACAAGATAAAGGATTAAGTAATTGAATTACTTGAAGAATTTAGAGATTGTTTTGCATGAGTTTACAACAAGATGCTTGGTTTGAGCAGAGAGATGGTGGAAATTAAACTACCTATAAATCCAGGCAAGCGACCAGTCAAACAGATGCCAAGGAGGTTCGCGCCAGAAGTGCTATCTAAAATTAAAGTAGAGATCAAACGGTTGTTGAAGAGCAAATTCATCAGGACAACCAGGTACGTTGAATGATTAGATAATTGTTGTAACCAGTTTTAAATTGAGAGTCACCACTATTAATTTTTATCCTAGGGAAGGGAACTTAACAGATAACCCTAATTGATTCAGAGATTCTAAATTTTTGACTCACTTTAGACGAAGGAAAGGTGTTAGGCACCCCTCATCTACCTTGTTCACATGGATACTAAGGTTTAGAATTATGGCTTAGGAAATAAGGTTTTAATTTTTATTAGGGGAACTCGCCATGATTCTAGTCGTATGCCTATGTATCCTCTTATGAGGAATCAGAGTCTCAATTCGTAGTTTGCGGTTGGTTGGTATTTTTTATGGATTACGAAGATATTTGAATTGCCCTTGTACTTAGTCTGGGTGTGTGAATAGCAGAGATGTTAGACGAAGTGCGCAGTCTATTAAAATATATTTGTAATCCTTTTTGAAACTTAATTATTGAATTTAATTTATTATGGAAAAAAATTTATTGTTGGTTGAATATTTTTTTAATGTGTTAATTATAAATAAAAAATCTTATTAATGCATGATTAAAAAAAATTTAATGCAATAAAGAAATAAATATTTGTATGAGTTTAGAAAATAAATATTGATTTTATAATAATAATAGTAAAATATTAAAATTTATAAATATATACAAATATAAAATTAGTTACAATATAAAAATAAATAAGAATAAAATAAAATAATTAATTAAAATGCACGGAGTATATTTTATTTAGATTAAGTAAATCAGGGGAGTGTATGTAGCATAGTCCTGAATTCAGATGTTAAATTGAATAGAGAAATAAAAATAGGGATACGTTCAGCAAAAACCCAAATTCAAATATTAAACTTGACGCAATAGCACAGATGAGGCACATGTGAAATATGAAACATGTGAAGTTAGTAAAAGTGTAGAGAAACAAAGTCCCAATTAATACTCAACCCTAATATAAGAATATAAAACTTATAACTAATAAAAAAAAAAAATGAAATTAGTAAACCACCCACAATTCCAACGATCAACAAAACTTTAAAGCTATCAATTTGATTTTTCAAACATAAACTTGTAGCCACTCACGAACGCAGCGACATATAGCGGTTCTTTTATGTTGAGCGATTCCTGATCGAATTTTCTTCAGTTTCTTTTCATCTTCCTGCTTTCTTCAATTTGAAATTATCGTTGTTATTTGGTCATTGTTTTGGATCTCTTTCTTGCCTTTTTCTCAGATTCGTCATGTTGTTCATATGAACTTGAATTTGTGAGGTTTCGGCGGTTATGCGTGTTCTGCCATGTTTTCCGGGTGGCTGAATCGTAGCATTCGTCGGAATCGGATTCACGAAGTCCCTCTTCTTCATATTTGTATCACTGTTTTTTCTATTGTTTGTTTTGAATTGAAATTGATGATGGAACATAGGTTGGGTTGTGATTAGAATTATTGATGATAACTCTTGAAAATAATTTCTTTTGATTTGGGATTTTGTGTCTAGTAAGGTAGAAACGGAAGGTGAGTTGGTTTGTGATTCTTGTGCGGGTGAAATGTGAACAAGAGAAAGAATAATGACTATTGTAATTTGAAGATTAATGAGAATGTTGTTTTTTTAATTTACGTGAAGGAGAAGCTGGAAAATAAGTCGCGCTTGAAAAACCCTCTTTGTTTAATGGTTACTAAAAGTTAGATGGAGAATTGTTAATCATAGAAATAATTTAACTACCCCAGTGATAATTGGTGAATATATAAATTATAGAGAATTAGTTGATGTGGTGTAATTATATGAGTCTGTGATTTTTATGATATGATGTGATGTATTTGTTAGTAATTAAATGTCTTAGAAATTATATAAGTTGAGGTGATAGGGATGTATGGCTAAATGTGCATAAACATACGGGTGTGTGAAATAATATAGATTATTATTATTATTATTATTATTATTATTATTATTATTATTATTATTATTATATTAGAATTATTATTATTATTTATAATAATAATTAAATAATTAATTAACTGGGGTAGTTATATTATTATTGGAATATATATTAGAGTAAGAACAAGAGAATAAGTCAGTACGTAGAAACAGAGAAAGAGAAGCATATAAGAGAGAAGAGCACTAGGAAGCTAGGGAAATGATTTCATCGTAGAAATCAAGAATCAACCAAGAACTTAAGGTAAGGGGGGATTCTAACTTTATAAAGAGTTACCTAATTTTTGACCTAAGATCCCATTTTTATTTTTATTTTTGCATTTTTGTACAAAAGTCAAGGTCACTAAATACAGTCGGTTTTAACCTCTCACCTTCGAGCATTGACTATGCAGAAATTGTCAAGTATTTTGAACATTCTTAGCCTATGTATCACTAACTTCTAATCAAGCACGAAATGTTTTTTTTTTGTTTCTTTAATTTTATGTGCAGAGACAAGTCTAAATCAAGGACATCAGGCGTTGCGCTTCAATTAGGGTTTTAAGTTCTTCAAGCCAGAAGTACAATTGATTATTGATTCTCGAAGACTGATTCGTCAAGACACGACTTCTAAAGCTTTGTTCAGGCTTATTTTGATCAGGGTTGTTTCAAGTGTGATAGCTTTTGTCTCGAGGATCTTCAGAGGATCGTGTGTTTATTTCCACGCCTTGTTCGATAAGTGGTCTCGAGCTTCTTCCAAAATTCCCCAAAGCACAGTCAAGATTTCATCATCACTGGTTTACATGTGCATCAAGATGCTTTAGAATGCGAAGAAGGATCAAGTTTGCAAGTCGATTCAAAGCATTTCGACCAAAAGTCAACTCTTGCAAGTTCAAGTTCAAACGGTCATGAATTCTTCAATTTTCAACGTCCTGAGGCGATTCTTTTGCAAAGTATCACAAATAGCGTTAGTTATGAGATTACTTCAAAGATTAAGGTGCAAGTCATGCCACAGACGTTTTCTCAAGAACGTTTGATTTTTCTGTTGGGATAATTCATGAAACTGGAGTTTTAGTCCAATGATTCTTTGATTGATTGTGGACTACTTCAAGTCATTTTGCAATTGAACAGTAGCGATCATTGGATTAAGGTGGATTGTTGATTAAATTTTTTAAAGGCACGATTTGTGCTATTTATCTGTATTGCAAATTACTATGAGGCGAAGACGCGAGTTAGGGTTGATAATTCTTCAAGTTCTTGTTGTTTGCATGCTAACTTGGATTTGAGATCTGAATCAAGATTGAATTCATTGTTGTGAAGTTTTCTTTCAAGTAACCAATACCATAAAGCCAAAATATCAGAGTTTGTCAAATAACATTAGGATTCTTATTTGCAAGAGAGACTCAAGAAGGTTTATGAATTTGATGTCTTGAGTAAGATGCATACCAATTTCTCGAGGTTTATTTCAAGAGTGCAAGTTCGTTAATGTGAATTGTTCAAAATATCAAGAATTATTCAATACCTTTCTCAAAATTCAACTTCATTCATCATTCATGCGTTTCAAATTCAAAGACAAATTTCGACACAAATTTTAATTGGAGTCAAATTGCGTGTCAATTCGGACTAGAGATTAAATTAAGGGAGCAAGATGATTTGGTGTAAAATTTATTCAAGATTCTCATTCATGTGAATTCAAGAGGTTATAAAGTACTTCTATTACAATATCATTCACTACTCTTCAAAGTGTAGGTTTCAAGTGTCTAAAATACAAAGTCTCAAGATCTTACTATTCAGCATCCATTATTCAAACTCATTCAATTCTCAAGACATATCAAAAATATAACTTCAAAGTTCCAAGTAACCTTTGTCTCATCCATTTGCAAGCTGCACAAGTTTAAATTCCCAAATTACATTCAATCAAGCTCTAAGTCAAAATTACAAGTTACCACAAGAATCTTACACAAGTGTTTGTACAAGAAAACAAAAATCTAAACCTAAAGCTAAGACTTGTTCTTGATCCAAAATTCATGCCACATATTGCCTTCAACAACCTTGTAAACTTTGCTGCAAAATTCCAGCTCCTGCATAATGCCAAATAAACAGTCAAATTGTGACATCTCCTTGTCCATAATTTTGCAGCCATAAGACAAAGATAACAGGCCAAAACTTAGCATATCAGCCTGCAAAATCAAATCAACCTGCACAAACCAGAAGGAAAAACTGTCAAAACCTGCTATTGCTGTCCACACCAAGCCTTGTCTTTATCCAAACATAAAGCTCCAAAACCTGCTGCATTACTGTCCCAAAAGTATACTACTATGCTGCCAAAATTCTGATACCTTCTTACTGCTCCAAAGCCTTGCTATACCCTTGCTGCCCTGCTCATAACCAGTCCAAAATGCTATATCCCAACCTGCAAAAAGCTGCATCATATCAGTCCAAACCAGTCCAAGGATTTCACTAAAATAGGTAATCAAAAACTACATCAATAAAGTGATAAAAACATAATAGTATATTTGTTCAAAAACCTAACTTGTTTCCTCCAAAAAACCACATTGTTCCATTATAAAGGAGGGAGCTCAGCATTGTATCAAGGGGGAACGGGGGAGAAAAAGTTAAAAACACACAGCAATTACTACAAAAAACTTCTGCTCGATACAGAAAACCAGAAAGATATCACACAAAAATTTCCATTGAGATCATACAAAATTCTCCACAAAAAAAAACACACAGCAATTACTACAAAAAAATTCTGCTCGATACAGAAAACCAGAAAGATATCACACAAAAATTTCCACTGAGATCATACAAAATTCTCCACAAAAAAACACACAGCAATTACTACAAAAAAAATTTGCTCGATACAGAAAACCAGAAAGATATCACACAAAAATTTCCACCGAGATCATACAAAATTCTCAACAAAAAAAAACACACACGAGAAAAGATGGAAAGCTGTGTCATACCTCCAAAAACCTCGCTGCTGAAAACCTCAAGGCCGTGACACCCCTCACGTCTCTGTTCAAACAACCGCTGGAGCATACTTGGCTTCTGGTAATTCGAAAACAACAACAACAGTCTTCACAACTGCAGTAACAACAACAATACATCCGTATCAACAACAACAACAACCAGAGTTAGAGAAATTAGAAGAAGAATTTGTACCTTATGTGGATTACCCTTTGGTATTCTTCTACAATTCGTAATGAGTTCGTTTCAACAACAATTGAGACGAGTCTCTGAGGTAAGCCTTAAACCTTCATCTTTTCTGCATCCGAGTATGTAAATGAATTTCCATGAATTATTGATACTGCGAGTGGTTCTGCGAAATCGATGAAGAATCTGAAATCGAAAACGTGATGACGATAGAAGTTTGGTTTGGTGGTGCTGAGTTGAGTTTGGTCAGAGAGAAAGGACGAAACGGCGGAGGGAGTATTGGTTGGTGATGTGGTTGAGATGACGGCGAGAGAGGGTATTTAGACCAGGTTTTTTGCTGAACAGAGGAGAGGAAAAAATGGTGAGAAGAAGAGGCGCTGATTGCCTTTGCCATTTTAGGGTTTATTCAACCCGTGGCCCTTTTAGTAAAGGATGGGTCCGGACCCGACCCGGTTCGACCCAGTTATAATTTTTATTTTTTTTTAGTTTTCTTCTTATTTTTATTTTGGGCCATATTCTAATCAGCAGATCCATCTAAAACTTATTGATACCACCCCTTAATTTTCTGTTTTCACCCTTTTCTTTGATAACTAACTTAGCTTATGTTTAAAATAATTTAGATATGATTTAGTAACTTTAGGATTAATTTACTTTAGATTAAATTTAGTAATTTTATGATTTTTATAATCTTAAAACTTTAATTTAGTTTAGATCAATATTTTTTTAGCTTAGGTTTAGATTAAGATTTTATAATTAGTGTAGTGTGTACTTAAATTAATTTAGATATAATTTAGTAATTTTTAGAGCTTTAACAACTTTAGATTTTTTTATTTGATTCAAATTTAGTTTTAGTAATTCTTTAGAAATTTTATTTGATTTAGTTTAGCAACTTTGAAATTTCTATTTGTTTTAGCAACCTTAGATTTTAATTTATTTTTAGATTTAATTTACTAATTCTAAAATTTCAATTTGGTTTAGGTCTAATTTAGTACTTTTAGAATTATTTTTATTCTTAGAGTTTGTAATTAGTTTAGAATTATTTTAGTAACTAATCTTAATTTTTAATTTAGTTCAAATAACCTCTTTAGATAATTAGTTACATTCTTTTTTATTTGTATATTTCTATCATTTTAATTTCTCGGTGCCTCTTGATCATTAATTTGTTTTTGTCCGATTTATTTTCTTGTGAATTTCTGAATGTTTATATTTTGATGTTCATTTTATTTTGCTTACTCCGAGGGAAAGAATTAAATTTGTTGACTTCATGTCATCAAATACATCTCATCCAATCGTGCGAATACCCTCTTTCATTTTTTTTGTTTGTTTACTATTTTGCTAAACTCAAGATAATTTTCCAAAAGACTCCATTTTCAAACCCACACCTTTTAAGTCAAAACTTCGACACTAGGTCGTCGCATCTTCAAAATCTCGCCCATACCTATTTTTAGCCAAATGAACCATTTTAATCAAACAAACAATTTTAACCAAAAACAAATATTTCAAAAGGTTCCTCCGGAGTACCGCAGATGTATTGGGTGCTAATACCTTCACATTACATAATCAACCCCCGAACTCTAGATCTCTTTTCAAAAATCGCATTGTATTTTCATTACTTTTAAGTATTATTTTACATTGCATATTTTAGGGTTTTATTTCGCTCTTTTCCCTTTTCCCTTGGAAATGATAAAGTGCGGTGGCGACTCTTGCTTTTGTGAGTCAAGTTAATTAATAGCTTGATCTCTGATTTTCACCGCTACAGAATTGGCGACTCTGCTGGGGAAAGATTGACCTCTTGCTGGTCCATACCTAAGTGGGTTAAGCCTAGTTTGTTTTATCTGTTTTATCATTATTTGATTGTTTGATTATATGTTTATATTGTGGTTATTTGGGTTTTTGCAAAGGACAAGTCCTATACCCGGACTAAGTTACACTTAAGAATGGGACGGGCGGTATAGTTAACTTTGAGGGAGTAATCCCGAAGAAGGAGGCATGAAATCCACCACTCAGTGGAAGGCCCTTTTGAACGTAGTATTTGTTTACCGAGTAATCGGGAAGACATTATTATTTTCGACCTGGGAGCCAGAGAAGCTGAGAACCGTAGAACCCTAACCCATCTTGGTCTCTTAGGTGTAGTGCGGAGACTATAACAGAGTAATCCAGAAGTAGTTGTCACGCGACGCTGCACTCAGACGAGTTTCTCTTGAGAATATTACTAATTATCGAGTAATCGAGACGTTGGTAATATCCGAAGGAGAAATGTAGACTCTGAGAACTTTTAGAACCTTGTTCTATAGGTGTGATTAAACCTATAGTACATACCTTGGGGATGGTTTTTACCTTTGACTCCATGCTCCTGACTTTGAACCTTTCGACTTTGTTTGTGACCTTGTCTGTGGTTGTTGCATAGCCATGCCTTCATGCATCCATGAAACCCGTTTTCACTTGATTTTCAAGGAATTTGGAAGTTTTTCTTTGTAAACATCACAAATTTCGTCAAGCTCAATGGATCTTGGGTGTTGATAGGGTGAAAACCCTAATCCACCAAAATGGATGATTGATCTTGATGATAACTTGATCAACACTTTGACCCAATTTAAAATTCATATTCTATCTTCATACTTTGATGTTTACAACTTAATATGTTGAGTTCCTTGAAAGTCAAATAAAAACTCTCTTTTCATATCATACACCATTCTACATTTTTTTTGTTTCACTTTTAAAGGTATTTTTCCAAGTCTTATTTTTCCTTTGGTCCCGACAGTACAACACTCGCGCTAAGAGAACAATGGAGAATATCAAGCAAGAGGTTTCTGAACTCCGTAGAGAGATGACTAATTTGAAAGCTAGTGTGGAGCACTTAACTGGTTTGGTTAAAAATTTGGTTGCTGCCCAAGTCAATCCTTCTAGGAGGGAGGAAGCGATGGTAAAAGTCTTCACTGAAACTCTAAAATCATTCTCTCATGAGAAGGTGATGGTCAATGCACCTAATGACTTTCCCGACAAGGTGAATGTGGGAGTGCATCTAGAAGAAGATGTCCGAAAGGGATGTTTATATGAAGATGGTAGCTCAGCTAATGGTGTGAAGAAGTTTGATAATAACTTTTCCAAGAAGAGAACCAGAGGAAGAAATAATCATCGTCAGAATCATCATGTTTCTCCTATTCATCAACAGAATCAGCAAGTTCCTAATCAGAGGAAAACTCAGTTTGATCCAATTCCAATTACCTATACAGATTTGTTCCCTACCCTGATGCAGAGGAATTTGGTTCAGATCCGACCTCCACCGAAGGTTCTTGAGAAGATACATTGGTACTACAAAGCTGATTTGACTTGTACCTTTCATCAAGATGCTCCTGAGCATGACTTGGAGGGTTGCTTTGCTTTGAAGATTGAGGTTCAGAAGTTGGTCAGAAGTGGTATCTTGTCATTCAAGGACGTTGGTTTTGAAGTTCAAATCAAGCATGTGCCGAAGAGTAAACACGATTGATGGTCACTTTAAGTTTTGAAGGATGTTTTAGGTAATTCAAGTCCAGATGGAAAGCCTTCCCTGATTAATAACTTATTTCTGCTCTTGTAATTTTTCTTGTTTATCAAAACATTATTTGCATGTAAGAACTTTTTTACATTTGAATGATTATTTTAATACAATGACTATGTCTGCCTTGAAGAAATTCATTCGTTTCACTCATATTTGTTTTCAAATTTTAAATTGTTTTTTGCATTATGATACTAACTTGTTGCCCATTCTCTTGCCTAGGCAGAGATTGAAGGGAGGATGATGATATGAAAAACACAAAATCTCTGGTTGTATGCTTTTTGAAAAAAAATCTTGCTGACGATGTACAAGCATTATTTCAAATCCCTAAACACCGGAGATATAAGGAAGATAATCCCTTGCTAACCCCTTTTAAGCCTTTGAAGTAGGAGTTTCTTTTCTATACGAAAAACCCTCAAATTTTAACCTGGGGCAGGGTAGTTCTCAGTTAATCTGATTGAGTGTTCAAAATTCATAAGGAAGATATTTCTGAAGAGAAACTACGAGGGTTATCCTTCATGTATAATGAAGCCAGAAGATGTGGAATCACAATGTTATCCCTCATTCATCAAGAAATGGGGAAGTCACAATCCTCTCAACAAGTCAAGACAAGCTAATGTCACACATTTTGTTCAAAAGTCAAAAATCAAGGAAAAAGAAAAAGTAAAAGCCTGCTAAGTCGGAAACTTGAAAATATGCGGCTTAGGCAAAAATTAGGGCATCCCGCTGGACTATAAATTCAAAAGAATTAGTTAAGGCAAAAGTTAGGGAAACTAAAAATTGCAAAGAAAGGAATACAAAGAAAAATTCTCAGCAAAGAACAAATTTGAGACTACAAACGCAAAGACATAAAAGTGGTTGCTACTCTGAAAGCCTCGTCGTTTCCTTAACCGTCACAAAATCCTTTTGAGAGATGAACACTCATGTTGAATTAACTGAACATAGGGTTGGAGAACATCACGAAGAATGGGTGGGCACCTATAAATTTTGAGCCTTAAAAATCTTTTTTCTAAAAAACCATGAACCAGGCCACGTTACAACCTTCAAAAGTCCTAATTGAAGCAAGGTTATTTTGAAAGCATACTTCAATGAGATAGTGTTCCTGACTCCCATGAATGTTTGCTAAATAGTTATGTTGGTATCATATGTTTTTGCTATACAAAATTAATGGTGCTCTAACTCGCAAAATTTGTGCGATATCTTTTCAAAATCTTCAAGACTTACATAACTGTTGCATTATAATTTTCAGTCTCATAATAAACTTTTTCTAACTGCAAAACATTTGTTTGATATCGAGGAAGCTTACATATAAGCACCAATGATGATTTTATTCTTTTAAGGCCTAAAACTA